AGAACATGTGGGCTCAGGTGATCAGTGGGCAGATTTGTTTACAAAAGGCTTAAGCTTAGGGAGAGTGAACTATATATGTAACAAGCTGGGATTATATGACATATATTCTCCAGCTTGAGGGGGAGTGTTAGAGCTAGCCAAATAAGGGTAGATTAGTCATTTTATTTCTGTGAAGTTATATGCTTATGTGGCAGTCTTAATAGTGACTTCCTGTCCCATACTTAAGTGGGGGCAGTTTTGTCCTTGTACTACTAAATAGAGGCTAATCCATATTAAGGGTCGACTGATAGGGTTTATCCTATCATGTTTGACTGTTCTCTTCATCTTCTTCTTCTTCTTTTCTCCTGGTTCGAACTACTGTAGCTACAGAACAAACGTTCATCTTTTCTCAGTTCGGCTGAACAGCACAAACAATAAATTTTATTTTATTATAAAAAAATGTAACTTGACTATAGGTATCATGGTATGTCTGCTGTTGCCAGAAGAGAATTTTATAATGCGTTAAATTATGATAAGCAACTATCACTTTATTGATAATTTTCAGTTATAAAAGGAATAATAATTAGTATATTTGAAAGAAAAGAGCATGCTAGTTCATTATTCTATCTGTATGAATTAATGTGTTAAATGTATCAGAATGAAAATCAGATTATAGGTGTCCAATATGGCATCTTTCCTGAAATGGAGTTGCCTTCTTTCATAATTTGTTTTCATCTGTTGTGATTCTCTAGCTAATGTTTGCAGATCATTAGAGAGAGAAGATGGAAGGATGTAACCGCTGTTTTCAACTTTCCATCTACAGCTACAAATGCATCTTTTGTCCTGCGCAAGTATTATGTTTCATTGCTTCATCACTATGAGCAAATCTATTTATTTCAAGCCAAGGGTTGGATTCCTCCTGCTGGTGAGTTCATAAAAAATATGGTTTAGATTATCTCTGCAACTAAAATAAGGGAACATATTACAGCTCCTGTGCAGAATTCATCTCTCATACCAGTTCCAGCTCAAGGCTTGGTTCAACCGGTAATGCCGGCATCAGAATCACAAGCATCTGCAACTCATAAGCGGAGGAAAAGTACTGGGGAGTTCTTGCCTGCAGGTTTCTCCAATCCCACCCCTTCAAAAAAAAAAAAGTAAATAAATAAAAAGGAGAGCAAGGACATATTGTGAACATTGAGAGTGATGGCTTTACATGCAAGAGTAGAAACAATGGGGGAATTTTTTTTCTTTCATTAGGATTCCTCAGTTTTTATTTTATACTTATCTTGCTCCTGCTTAATTACCAAAATCATCATAGTTGAACAGATTAACATGGTTGAATTGGTCAAGTTTTATCACCTTAGAGGATGTGAAGGAGTGGCATTGTAGTTCATAGAAAGTACCAGTGTCTAGGCTAGTTGTTTAGAAAACCTTAACATTGATCATATGGATAAAACCATTTCTTACTAATTTGGAGCTACTTAAGTAATTTCTTCCTTCTGCTTCCAGCAAGTCCACCAAGCTCAATGGTTTGCCCTGTGGTTGGGGTGATAGATGGGAAATTCGAGCATGGCTATCTTGTTACTGTTACAGTTGGCATGCAGAAGTTAAAAGGTGTTCTATACCACACTACGGACCACCCAGATGGCCAGATGCCACAGTACTCTAGCTTATTTGAGAACAATACTGCCAAGGAAAGTGTAGTTCCGTGCCGTCGGCGTCGGCGGAAGAAATCTGAGTTGAGAAAGCGAGACCCTGCCCATCCTAAGCCTAACCGAAGTGGCTACAATTTCTTCTTTGCTGAGCAGCATGCCAGACTCAAACCACTCCACCCAGGGAAGGATAGAGAAATCAGCAAAATGATTGGCGATCTATGGAACAAACTGACAGAGACTGAGAAATCTGTAAGAGAAATGTCATGGGTCATTTTCTATGATTTTCTCTATAATGATATGGAATTATGTAACTGTGCATTGCTTTAAGGATAATCATCATTGACCCCAATCCTCTTTTCCCTTGTACCATTTGTGAAATTCAGGTTTATCAGGAGCAAGGCATTAAGGATAAAGAGAGGTACAGAAGTGAGATGGAGGTATACAGGGAAAGACTCAGGACAGGCAAAACTATCAATAACATAGTTCCTATTCCACATACGTGTGCTGTACCCAAGGTAATGATGGAGGAAGATGTGAAAACAGGAGCTGAAGAAGGTAATTCTTTTCATACTCAAGAGAGTGATAGTAGTTCTGCAGAAATTGATTCAGAGGAGGAAAAATCTGCAAACAAGGAATTGGAAATGGAAGCATCTCCAACAGAAGAAAATGTTTCTGAATCTGGTACTGCAGACCCAGGGACATTAGCTGAGGATGATGGTTGAGTTGCAAATGGATCAAAATGATGGGGATGATAATCAGGTACAGGAGGATCAGAAGGATTAATATCAGAATAAGGTGCAGAAGAGGACTCAGAATGATGGTGGTGATAATATGGTTCAAAAAGTGGAACAGAAAGATGGAGATGATGATCAGGTTGAGGGATCAAGCTTGCCCTTGATGATAGAAAAGGAAATAGTAATCAGTGAGGAGCCTTAGTTTTAACAAGAACTGGTACTCTATAAAGGATTTTCATACCATGCATAGTTATTTCTTTAAAGAAAACTCAAGTTGTAGGCATGATAGCTTTTTTTTTTCATCTTTTGGTTTTGTTTTTTGAAGTTGTATTTTTTATTTGTAAGTTAGGCGTAGGACTGCTATAGTTACAAATGCTTTCTTTCCTAGGAAGAAAGAGCTCATTGTTTTGGTTGATTTTGGACTGTTATAATTGAAAGAGAGTTTAATGCATTGGTTAAGATTTGCACATGGTCTTATTCGCTATGTTCAAATTGATTGCTTATAAAGATGGTTACTATATGCTTGGTCAACACACATAACCAAGGTACATATGTTCCCAACATTATTCTTAGCTGGCAATTACTTCATGTGGTTGTAACGAAAGTTTAAAATATCGACACTATATTTCCTCAAAAAAGTATCAACATGATATGTCTAATACAAGGCATATTGTATTGGTATCTAAGGCAGGGAAAATCTAAGATACCAGAATGACATGGTACCAAAAGAGCTTTGACCAATCAAAGCACCTCGCGAATTTTGATGAATACCACCTGATTGATCACCCCTTTATGATACCGGTTGGTTGGTTATAAGTTTTTATGATATCATGTCTTTCTAGTATCATAGTCAAACCCCTAAAGTAAGGGCACATAGAATGGGCAGAGTGGCGCAAGGCCATTGAATAACAATGGTGATGATCATGGCTAAAAGTCAAAAAGCAGAGGTCATAACTACTGTTAAAAATCAAGAAAGCATAAAAAATATATATTCTATATGTTATAATTGATTTCATTAAGAAATAACTATAATATGGATCCATTAATGATATATTAAATTCATTTGTCTATGAGCAATTTATATCAACAATGGTTTTTTATTTTTAGAAAGAAACCAAAATTAGAAAATATTTTATCTTATATATTCTAAATGATTTTCATAGTTAGAGAACTATAAGATAGAACTATCGATATATATATCAAAACCATTGATTTAATAACAGCTTGATGCATCTTGTAATGAATTTTTAGTAGATTGGAAGCTTAAACATTGTTTGATGTAATATTGGTAAAATTATTGTATGATATCTAAATGTTCTAGACTCCCAAAGTCTTGGTATTGTTGATCGTGATGCATCTTTTCATATAAACTATTAAAATGTGTATTTTTTTATGTATTTATGCTTTACTCATAGTTATTTCAACATTAAATTTGTTGACTATGTGTTTGGATGACAACAGTCTCATTGAGAGTGTTAACAATTTGAACTTAAGTGTGCAATGTGTACCTAGTGATCTTCATTAATTGAGCTAAAATGATTGAGAAGAATTTCAATGATTTGAAATGCAAAGTGGGCAGTTGTTTAATGAACATGTTATTCTCTAAGAAAGAGGAGTGCTACCATAGAAAAGAAATAAAGAAAAAACATTAAATTTTAGAACTTCAATTGTTATCATCTTTTTATCATTTAGAACTTGATGTAATCATTTGCAAAAATGCACATAAGATAAGCTGAACTAACTAACCTCGCTTTAACCAAGACTTTAGAGATTAGTGGTTGCTCGTCCTCGGGCAAGACAAAATTCAAGCAAAAATAAAACAAGAACAAACTAACTATCCTACTGATTTTTAAATTCAACTCTCCTTTATCTTTCTCCACAAATATTCTAGGTTAACTATTGCAAACCGTCAAATCAACACAACCAAGTCATACTCGACTCATTCATCCGTCAATCCAATTTTTGCTACTGCAAACCAGGTAGTAAATCAGGGAAAACCTCTCTTTTTTTTCTTTTTCCCTTTTTTTCTCTTTTTACTAGGAGTGAGTGCATTTTATGCTCCATCTCACTTTTAGATCACTCGGCCAGGTGCATTTTATGCTCCATCCTACTGTTGAATTTGCTGGSTAGTAGATGCATTTTATGCTCCATCCTCTATTGAATTACTTGGTTGGTAGGTGCATTTTATGCTACATCCTACTAATTGTAGCAATGGTAAAACAACTACCCAATTTACTTAAACCTGAATTTCGGACTAGCTTAACTGGAAATGGTTTCGAATAAGTCATGTACTCCTTGATCATATCTCATTACTAGGTTCACAAAAATTTTTCTAGAACATTGTTTCAATTGATTTCAAAAGAGTTGAGGTTTTGATTTTTTTTTTGAACCGAATTAAAATCCTATACTCCCCCCCCCCACCCCACTTAGTCTACGTATTTTCTTCAATGTAACGTAAAAAGAAAAAGTGAAAATAACTTAACTATAAAAACAAGAAGAGAGAAAAAAAAAAGAAAAACAAACTTCCCTGTTTTTAATCATTAACTGGATCCTCCAGGTCTTGTAGTTGCAACTTCCGATGTTTTCCCCTTTCATCCATCATGGGTGGGTTTAAATCTGGAATAGGGGCTTATACAATAGATGGGAGGGGTTTTGTGTGAGCTGGAGGTGTTTCAATGGAAGGTCGCAATTGCTTGGTAGAGGTTGGTCCAAAAAATTTTCCTTGTCTTGGCTTGAACTCTTCCTGACCGGCCTCCAAATAGTTCAAAACCTCCTTAACTTCTTCATCCAAGACCTGCACATTTTTACAAGAATTAAGAATGCAACGTTCTAAAGGATCATCTGATTTAGATGCATCGACTTCAGCTGCCCAAACATCAATGTAATCAATTGCATATATTTTATGTTCAATTGTATTGGGATATTTCATGGTTTTAAATACATTAAACACCACTTCTTCACCATTGATTCTAAGGRTAAATAGACATTTTTGCACATCAATTAAAGTATTACTAGTAGCAAGAAAAGGTCTCGCTAAAACCAGAGGCATTGTCATATCTTCCTCCATATCCAACACAATGAAATCAACAAGAATAATAAAATTGCCCACTTTGACTGAAACATCTTCTACTATTCCCCTAAAATATTTGATACTTCTATCAACTAATTGCAGGATAATAGTAGTAGGTGTTAGTTCTTGCAATCCAAGTTTTTCAAAAATAGAATATGGCATTAGATTTATATTGACACCTAAATCGCATAAAGCTTTCTCAAACTCAATATTTCCTATGGTGCAAGGAATAGAAAAACTCCCTGGGTTCTTGAGCTTTGGGGGCAATTTATTTTGAAGAATTGCTGAGCACTCTTCATTTAGTTTCACCATTTCGCATTCCTCCCATTTCCTTTTATTCGACATCACCACTTTAAAAAATTTGGCATATTTTGGCATCTGCGACAATACATCAAGAAGAGGAATGTTAATATGTATTTTTCTAAACACCTCTAAAAATTTTTTAAATTGTTTATCCAAGTTAGCTTTCAAAACTCTTCTAGGGTAGGGGAGAGAAAGTTTAATAGCATCTAAATTCAGTTTAGGTGTACTCCCTTCGGTCTCCTTTTGTGAATCGATCACTTCAGCTTTCTGATCATCATTCTGGGTCTCGCCAATAGTCTTTCCACTTCTTAAAGCAATGACATTCACTTGCTCCCTTGGGTTCTTCTCTGTATTGCTAGGTAGTCGTCCCTCTCTTCTTTCTGACAACAAATTCACAATCTGCCCCATTTGAATTTCTAAATTCTTAATAGATGCTTCTTGATTTAAGAATCTCTTTTCGTGATCTTGGAACTTTGCTTTAGCAACATTAATGAACTTAGAAATCAAGTCTTCCAAGTTTCCCTTTTCTTGTGGGGGCGACTGTTGTTGAAATCCCATGGGTGCTTTTTGTTGGTTGTTGTTCCATGAAAAATTCGGATGACTCCTCCACCCTGGGTTGTATGTGTTCGAATAGGGGTTGAAATTCGGCCTGCCACCATGAGAAATAAAATTAGCACTTTCATGTGAAACAAAAGGATTACCTACCGGACAGTTAGAATTAATATGTCCTAATTAGCCAAAAAGATCACATGGATTACTTGATGACACATTTATTGCTGCAACACTAAGATTGTCTAGTTTTTTATTCAAACTAGCAAGTTGAGGAGATAAAGCTGAAAAAGAATCTAGAAGATGCACTCCCATTCGATCAGCCTGGTCATTATTCCATTGGTAGCTATTTGATACCATCTCTTCCACTAGATCATAGGCTTCCTCTGGAGTTTTCCTCATGATTGTGCCTCCTACAGCTGCATCAATAATGGAGCGATTAGATGGAGTAATACCATTATAAAAAGTTTGAATTTAATGCCAAACTGGTATTCCATGGTGAGGACACTTCCTAAACATCTCTTTAAATCGTTCCCATGCCTTATACAAATATTCCCTCTCTAGTTGAACAAAAGTAGTGATATCATTAATAAATTTTGCTGTTTTAGAGGGAGGAAAATACTTAACCAAATTTTTTTGAGTCAAATTATTCCAAGTAGTAATACTTCCTGTAGGGAGTGAGTTAAGACAATCCTTAGCTCTATCACGTAATGAGAATGGAAGAGCCTAAGCCTAATAGCATCATCGCTAACTCCATTATGCTTGAATGTGTCGCATATTTCTAGGAAGTTAACAAGATGTGCATTAGGATCATCACTTGGCAACCCACTAAACTGAATACTCATTTGGATCATTTGGATGATCGCAGGCTTGATCTTGAAATTATTGGCTTGGAAATGCTAGAAGTAGCCCCATCCATTGTTGGATAAGCATAGTCCAAAAGAGTTCAATTTGCTTCTGCCATCTCTTCTTCTGCTGGTTCACCCTCTTCAACTGTCTCTCTTTCTTTACTTTTGTTGGCTCTTTGCAGTATGCGAAGGGTTCTCTTTATCTCAGGATCGAATTCTGCTAGTTCTTCTCCTCTAGTGTGTGTTATACACTAAGCAAGAATTTGAATAAATAATGATAAAAGAAAAAAAAGAAAAATCCAAATTAACTAAGGTTAACAAGTTCTAATATTATTTTAGGATTAAATCCCCGGCAACGGTACCAAAAACTTGATAGCTATAATTATATAACCCTAGCAAGTGCACTAGTTATCAAGTAGTATAAATATATCATTCCCATGAGGATTTAACAAAATAAGTATTAGGACTATAACTTCCCTCAATTATTTGAACAACTGAATTCTAACAATAGGAACTACTGAAAAGATAGAAAAAGAAAGAATAAAAACAAAGGCAATTAATGACAAAACTTGCAACGATCTAGTTGGAAGCGCTAGGACTATTGGTCCACTTTACCCTTCCAATGGATATCAATTTATTAGATTAACCAAGATAAGTTATTATTTTCATAGGTTAAAGTTTTTCCAAATTTATTTAATATTCCCTTTCAGGATATATCAAATCTACCTCTATCAAGTAACCCTTCGATCTCTCGACTAGAGTTCTCGTGATAGAGATGCAGTAAGTTCTATGAAAAACCTGTGTCATCAGATGAATCATGTATATATATTCCTATATACCATTCAATTCACACTATGAATTATTTAGTCCACTATATGAATTCCTCTCTCGATTCATTCATATAAACCAAATC